GAAATTTTCGTCTTCATGTGAGTGGACTAAAACGTCCAGAAAGGTGATCGTGATTAGAACCAGGAGGGGAAATTCCAGTTGATTCCCATAATTTTAAAGGGGGCTAAAAGCCTTCTCTATGAATTAAGTACAAATAGTTTTTGCTTAACTTCTTGCACTTATTCTTTCCGTTCTATGTATTGCCTATTCGGTTTATTTCGCTGGACAAAAAGTTTGAGACCATTAAAACTCATGTCGTGTGTCTAGATACAGATTATATATATTGCAGTTAGGAATAAGCTGTATTCTTGAATATGGTTGTAAGAATGAAATACTACTCTGAATCGAAGTAGATTACCTCTAATCACTTCACTAAAAGCATTCCCGTAAAATGGAAGTAGGCTCAACAACTATACTGTACTACGCGGACTCAAGTCTCGCCTGGGGTGTTGATGAGACCAAGATGAGGTCGAAGCTGCACTCCAAGCTGGTCACTAAAACCTCCAAAAGAGGTAAATTATCGTTTTTCTCTATCTCAACTGTCAACTTAACATTATAATCAGTCTGGTTAATTAAGAATCCTTCGGCAAATGGGTCAAACATGTATCTATTTAATAGTTCTGGTGTTTGCTTACCTCTTCCATGAGGTGCTCCTCCATCCTTGAACTTTATTAATCCTTAACTTAGATACAAGTTACTTCGAACTGATCTTCTTAATACGAACAAGCATAATCAATTTATAGAATGATTCTACTAAACTGTCAACCATGTCTTGGAACTTAATAAAGTTAATAAAAAGCTTGTCTTGCTCGGGTTTCGGTTCTAATCAGTTTGCGTAATTTCATGATGCTTTCTGTAAGCCTAGTTTTACCCAAACCACTCGATATCTGATCCAGTTCTCTCTTAGTAGAAATAGGTAAGTTAAAAAGTTTACCAAGAAAACAGCATATAGCAACTACATTATGAGTAATACAATTTAAAAATCTCATTCTAATGCCTGGCCAAAAAAAGAGCATTCTTGGTTTTAGTCTAGTGGGGAGACAGGTTAAAAGAACTTCAACCATGCTTGCGTAGTATATACGAATAAAACCTAAATGACCCTAAACCAACGGATTATGACAGAGGCTTTCATGACCTGACTTTCACGAATACAGACTTGCATCTCATCAATTACAGACTAGCGAAATCTCGGTCATGCGCTTCTTTTAGTAATTAAGCCTTGATAACTGGAGGCTGACGTTAGGCTTTTTACTGAGATAGCTCTGAGTTCTGGCCGGTATTGTGTATAGACGGTGGCACACACCCACATACACACAAACACTTGAGTAGAACTAAACCATTTTATCCATCTATATACAAATATTTTGGAGTATATATATCTATCAAGTAGGAAAGAGCTTGTCAGTCTTCCTGACTTAGTGATATCTTGAGACATTTTCGAGAGTTAGTCTCGGCTCCGATGATGTTCCTGGTGTGGCGAACGAATGCTCAGCCAGTTTGCACCCGAAACGAGAAAGGATGTCTCAGCCTGAACTTCGTATTAAAACCAAATAGCAACCGAATTACACGAATCGTCCGTCGTCTTCTGATAAGATCGACCTTCGAATCTCTTCATCAGGCACTTTCATACGAAATGAAGATCTCCAAAACGCTACGTGTAATTAAATGTATG